CCAGAAGAAGTCGGCCAAGGCCAAGAACGCCGCCGGCGCCGCGCCCCACGCGCCGGTCTCCGCGCCGCCCGCGGCCGCGGCCGCCGCGCCGCCCGAGCCCTCGACGACGATCGCGCCCGCGGCGACGCAGCCGGCCCCGGCCCCGGCCGCGGCGGCCGCGCCGCCCCCGCGCCCGCTGCCCAAGATCCGCGTCTTCCCGCAGCTCTCCGAGGTCCAGAAGGCGCGCCTCCGCATGAAGGACCAGGAGCACATCCGGCGCGCGGCGCGGCTCCACGAGGCCGTCACGCAGGAGCAGGAGCGCAACGCGTTCCTGGAGCGCATCCAGGCCGAGGAGGTCCGCCGCGAGCAGGCCCGCATCGCGGCCGCGCGGCCCGTGCCGCCGCCGCCGAACCGCGCGACCGGCGCGGGCGACGACAGCGACGAGGGCTGGGAGGAGAGCGACGAGGACGATCCCGTCGAGGACCTCATCCACCGCGAGCGCATCCGCGAGCGCGACCTGCTGCGGACGCCCGGCTGCCTCGCCCTCGGCCGCAAGGCCTTCCGCCTCGAGGACATGCCGCGCGTCACGGAGCGCGACCGCGAGATCCTCCGGCGCGTCCTCTACATCCTCCGCGAGGCCGAGCGGTTTTGCGCCAGCGTCCGCAGCGCACGCGTCGCGCCGTCGACGGCAATGATTTGGGCCCCTCGACGCACGCGTTTGCGAGCTTCGACGCCTTCGAGGGGTTCTCGCGGAGACTTCGCGGAGACTTCGACGTTTTCGCAGGCGCAACTGCGGCGAGCTCGAGGTCCCGCGGCCGCGGGAGTGGGCGCTCTCCGACTTCGGCGACACGATGACGACGGAGGCCATCCGCGCGCGCTTCGACCTGCGGTGCAACGACGGCGTCTTTTTTTGTGTGTTTTCGCGCGTCGCGTGGACAACGTCGCGTCCGAAACGAGCCCGTCGTACGCGCGAGCGCCGTTGATGTGGTCCGTTACGCGTCGCAGGCGCCTCCAGCGCCTCTTCCCGAACCTCGACTTCCGCCTCTCCTGGTCCGTGCGCTTCAACGTCTTCGTCCAGACCATCGACGCGATCGCGCTCGACTCGAACCTCGAGCTCACGCGCGTCGACATGGAGGTCCGCCGCTCCACGGTCGGCGTCTACGAGGACTCGCTCGCCTGCCAGCTCCTGGGCCAGACCTACTACGTCCACCCGGACAAGACGATCAAGATCACGGTCGACCTCGTCGTCACGAGCGAGGTCATCGGCGCGTTCCCGCGTCCGCGACGGCCGTCGTTCCCCGCGCGAGATCGTTTCCCTCGCAGGCACGGCCCCGGGCCGCGCCGAGGTCCAGATCAAGGAGCTGGGCTTCCACTTCATCGACCCGCTCGCGCCCGTCGCGGAGAAGGAGATCGTCCCGCGCGTCCGCGTGTTCATCCCGTACCTCGGCATCGAGGGCTGGATCAGCATCACGTCGCGCGGCCCCGCGTCCTTCTCGACGCGTCGAGAGCTTCGTTCGACACCTCCGAGGCCTCGCCCGACGCGCCTTCGACGCCACAGGTTGAACGACGGCCACCTCATCGTCGAGCTCAAGTACCTCCAGGCCATGCACGTCAAGAACCGCATGCTCAAGAAGTGCTGCTACACGCTCTACCTCCTCGAGCTCGCGGACAGGCTCCGGGGCGAGGCCTCCCGCGAGACCCTCAAGACGGCGCGCAAGAACGTCGTCGAGGTCCGCTCCCGCGTCCGCGAACCCGCGCCGACGCGAACGCGTCGTCTCCGTAGGCCGAGGGCGAGTACCAGCTCGCGCTGC